ATGTATTGAAAGTGGGACAAGAGCATTAGCCATTCATTTTGAAGCTCTTGCTTTTGTCTGAGCACAAATGTCCTTTCTTCTACAAAGTTATAGTCAGCACCTCAGGCATTCCATGCAAGTGCCACTGAGCATAAGTAATCCACATTGACTAGGTTAAAGAAAGTCCCAATATGATTTTTGTAGCCTGGTCTTTGGATTGAATTTTTGACTAAAGAAAACACACCAGCGGGTTTTGTGCATTATAAGACGTGCTGTAGTTTATCTGCCTTTGAAGATGTACTGTATGTGATGAAGGACATTTCTGCATTCTCAGAACTCTGTAGTACATTAGTCATTGGAAACCTTAACCCAGTCTCAAAATTGACCTGCAGCTCAAGCATCCTCAGTATGAATATGTCATTAGGCTGCATCCCTGGATATACCATTGGATTAGTTTTACATAATGACTGGAATTTTGCTTAGAGAGCAGATTTAAGCTATAAAAAAAAGGAAGGAGAATGTGAGAAGGCTTGTATCATGAACTTCATTAAGTGTGACAAGCAGAACAATATTGATGGAAGAGTGGGCTCCCATCAGTGCACTGCATTAAAACCTCTGCAGTGAATTAATGTACATTTCCTGATCCAGTAATTAACAATCATTCGTGGGCCATATCCCTTTTCAAGTAATCACTAATTCCAATAAGAATTTCAGATTCCATTTAAGGCAAGATTACCGATGAGCATGCAATGCAAATTAGCCAACAGTTCGAATTCAAATTATTTTTCTTTCTTTCTGTCTCAGCCTTTTGTGAGCACATAGAATGTGGAGTTTGTTTCTTCTGCATTATAAAAGATTTTTTTTATCACAGTGCTGCAGATAGAGAGCTGTGCGTTGCCCCAAGAAAGTGTTTCTGCTTGTTGTTTTGCCTTTGATTTGAATGTGTGGTTTTATCCATACTTTCCTTTTTCACTTTTTAGTATGTCTTTGTGCCTACATAAGTATAATGTGTTTCTCGTTGGGTCAAATGTGCTAATTACCTCACTGAGCCTGCACCTATAAATCACAAACTGCTTTTACAATATACAATATACTCTTTTGTTTAGTACCTTTCTTTACTAAAAATATTGCTACCCTATGGCTTACAGAATTCTTGAGGGATGATATAATGTCAAATGTAAAAAGTATATACTCTACCAAATATGTCACTTTTCAAGTCTCCTTACATTTGTCACCCCTTTAAATCCAATTTATGTTGCTTGATGCCATTGGGACCATTCATCAATATCACAGAAACTGATATGCTGCGGCTTGAAGATGTCGAACAAGGTTAATGGCATCTTTAAACGCTCCTTTCTTCCACTTGTATGTCCAAAATGAAGCAGAGAATTTGCAGAATGCCAACCCAATGTGTTAGGATTAATTACTGCCCTCATAACCCTACCTCACCCTGCAAGTTAAAGATTCAGAGAGGAAATGGCCCTTTTCATGCAAATGAAATTGAATGTGTCAGTCAGTGTAATTGTGAAAACCGAGCCGTCTTAGACTGGTGTCTATGCCAAAGAGAGGCTCCAACTGAAAGTCAGTTTATTAATGTTCTTCCCTTGACTCTTTGATTCATGCTCTTTAATGGCTTGGCAGATCAAACTCAAGTCTAGCGCAGACTCCTGATGTCTTTAAAAGTTTTGGCAATTGTGAGTAAAACCCAGACCCAGATAATTTTGAGAACATTTAAATGTCTGGCAGTAAGCTAAGCCAGTGTCAGAGAAGCCTGTAATGATTGGACGTATGCCAGATGTTCCAAGTCCAGCACTGACAAAAGAGAAATGTGCCATTACCTCTAGATCTAAATTACGCCTATAACAGGTCAACAGAAAAATGAACAAAAATACCCCTAATTGAAGTTTTCTAATTACAACTCCACCATGCTGTCTTTTAACTCTAGATATGCAAAATAAGAAACAACACTAACATTCTGATTTTAAATTAAGCATTCCAAGAGTTGCCTCACAACAGTCTATTGTAAAATCATCGGTGAGGAGATCAAGGACTTCTGTTTGTAAATTAATGACAGGATTGAATGATGATGGGACCTTTCAAAACAGCATCCCAGCTCTATCAAATACAGTAGCCGCAAGTTTACTAAATATCATCCTCTGCCTACATTGTTAAAGCCTTCCAGTGTTAATTTATATTTATCCTTAGAAAAATTCAAGAAATATGGAACAAACCACCCTCTCAGCCCTGCCGACACAACCATCCTGAGAGACAGTAAAGGGTGTCACTCAGCAAATTATTAACATGGAATTGAGCAGTGGAGATGCGAGATACATTGGAGAGTTTCTTCTCCTTTATGTAGCAACACATGTGCAATTATATAATGACCTCAAAGCAGAGTAGGCAGAGACACTCATCACTAACCTTTTTGCTTGTGACAGGCTTTACATTTATCGTTTGTCTGCCTGCAACAGCTTAGTCCTGGATGAACAGGTTCCCAGCTTCAGGATTAATTAATGTATATTCCGGTCAATTCTCAAAGATCTTCAATTACAGCTGACTATTTTGCAAAACAAAGCTCACTAAACATTTAAAAGGATATTTAATTTGTACAATTTTAATTCCTATATCAATTAACAATACAACAAGCAACGTGAACGAGTTTGCATACCACGAGTAGTAATATTTCTTTCAAGGTTCCTTTCATGGCATCGTTCTGACAAAACCAAGGTTTCAGGTCCCTGTCTTTCTACCTGAAGCCATACAAGGAGTCTTCCAAAATGGATGTTTGTCAGCAGCAGAACAAAATTGGTGTATGATGCTGATATCGGCTGCCATGTCTGTGAAAACACCATTACCTCCATGTCACGCCTCAGTCATTCCTCATTGTGTGATGATTCCCACCCCGTCCAGTTCGTCTCACCTCCAGTGCTGATCTCCTATACATGCCATAGAAGTCTATTACAGCCAGCGTACGGAGACGCAAAAAGCCATAATGGATGGCCCCGAAGCGAATATAGCCCCAATAGCATATCAATTACCCATCAGGGCCTTGTCCTTGGCGAGATGCCCATGTGTGCCACACCCCAGCAAAGTCATGGAGAGAACACAGAAATGCAAGGGTTGTACTGCTTTTGTTTTACTCAAATTGGACTTTATAAAAAAATCTGCTGCTCACCTGTTGAATTTGTCAGCAGGTGAAAGAGACAAATATTGTGGAAATGCTTGTGTGTCGGGGTGTTTGTGAGGGAGCTGAGGGGGTGTTAATGTCTATCTGAATGAAAAGCCATGGCGTGTCAAGAGGAAATCGGGTGATTTCCCAGACTCATTTGCCCAGTGGAAGCCCAGCTGCTAGCCTGTTTGTCTGTTCGCCCTTTTGATTCCTGGCCTCACATCTTATGTCACCTCTCCACAAATCCCTTAGGTTAATTTGTCCCTCACTCTCAGTACTGCTGCTGCTTCAGGGCAATACAATCTGGGATTGAAAAAAAAAAAAAAAAAAAAAAAATCTGTCCGCTCACAGAGACACGCAAACAATCAAAATGACATACTTGCTCATACATACACTCACACACACACAGATGAGGTGATTCAGATGGTTGGCATTATTGCTGCTACATGGACTCTAACGGCCTGCTGAAGTGATTGATAAAAGGCAAACAGTTGCTCTGCAGGGGGGGCAGATGGAACTACACCTCCCAGTGAAGCTGGCACTCAGGCTTCAGAGAAAAATAATGGGGCGGGTCTGATGTAGCACATTTTTGTTTTTACAATTGCAAGAGTGTTGATCATCATGATAAAGCTGCAATGTAAATCTCACAAGTTAAAATCTCCCCCGAGGAATAAAAGATTGATTTGACTGCGAACCACTTTTGTGTGTTTAGATTTTTTCTTGGACTGCAATTTAACTGTCAGCTCGTGAGCAGTAACTGGAGCAAAATGGAACACAACTGTGAATTGCTGATGAAGCCTAAATTTTATGGGGAGACATCTAAAAATTTAACAGCAGGTGCAGCACTGCGGCAGCCCTTATGGATGTGGAAATATTAAGCAACTTAACTGGCAAGTACAGTCAGAACACCTAAATAGGTAAACTGTTCATGGTATTCCACACAGAGCAAACAATCTTCAACTCGGCTGCTCTCTCACCTCCAGTCACTTACAAATGTTGTATGTTTATCAAATTTTCTTTACACACAGTTGTGCTGAATTAAGATAGAAGTTTGGAGATACAGAATACTAGTAAAGAAAATCATGGCATTTCAAGGTGTTTGTCTCATTCCTGTGGGGCACCAGGACAACCAATTGCCTTGGTCGTGTTTTCTCTAAAGAAAAAAAAACTCTTACGATGTATCATAAGAGTTGGTGAAGATCGGGGAAATAAATACAAATAATGAAATGCTACCAGACAATAAAAATTTGATCACAGTACATGTTTTTCTTTATTTTTCTAGAACTTTTATAAATTTCAGAATGTAAAAGGTTTATAGACCACAATAACAGAACAGATAAAATAGTGTTGAAACCAACAGCTACTTCAATAATAGTTTCAATCTTTCAGCTCACATAATGATCACAATAAGACTTTGTCAAGTAAGGGCTGTTGTTTATTTTTATTTTAGTCTCTCTTTTTATTAATAGCCAACAACAAAATGTATGTCTACTTCTCAGAAAAAGTCGTCGTACCACTGTTTACTATTTTCTACATAATTCATTTTCCCAAAAACAGAAGTTTTTTTGTCAAAACGTTCCATTGCAAGCCTCATTCCTCTTTGAGAGGAGACATCACAGTTACTTAGAAAACATGTCTAGGGTAAAAATAAAAGTTTTGTTTATTGCGCTCTGAACATCTCTCTCCTTGTTCTTTTGATCTCAGTTGATCATCTGTTTCCACTTACACAATAAAGACAGTTTAATCTCCCCTTGATCTCCAAAACAATCCTCTTAAAAGCCACATGCTGAAATATGCAACTTTGTTACGTACTTGTTCATGTGTGTGGCTCAATCAGAGATTACTGCTTTGTCTGCAATGCTGCGCGTGTTCACTAACTGTTGATTTTTGTTACCCTTTATTTTGCTTCCCTTCAGCACCACCAAAGTTTTTAAGAACACCCAATGACCAAACAGGCGTGCAGGGAGGTGTGGCATCCTTCATCTGCCAAGCCACAGGAGATCCACGACCGAAGATTGTGTGGAACAAGAAGGGGAAGAAAGTCAGCAACCAGAGATTTGAGGTATTAGGTCTATTGTTCTGATGTAAAATGCTCGACAAAATGGGAATGCCTCAGCACTGCTTCTTGCTCGGCTCACACATAATTCATTGCGCCAAGACCTGCTTGCCTGCTGTTTGCCCTTACTTGCCACCACGCATTAGCAGGCTCAAATAATCATTTCGGTCCAGCTTTTAAACATGCATGAGTTTTAATGAGGAAAAATAACTTGGGACAAATTAGTAAATAAAAAACGCAATCAGATAAAAGAAAAAACAACGGGGCGACCCAAATTCCTACATTGGCCTCACATAGCCGCATTATCCAGTGTCATCCAAAGTGAAAGGGGAAGTAGAACTTTCACTTCGAAATATCCTTTTGCTTTGTGGCATTTATCTGATTGCATGTCCTACTCTCCATATTTTGGTTGAAGCTTCTATCTATTCTATGGTCAGTTTTAATCTGCACTTGGTCTCGATACCCATAAGTAATAACAATTCATCACAGGGCTCTGATAAGATTTCTATTAATTTCTGTGTTAGGGCTGTCATGATGTCACTTCTTTACCCTCTTTTGCTCCAGCTGCCCTACTTATTTGCTCCTGCAGAGCAGCAGGGTCTTAACAGAGCTCAGAGAGCTCTTTCCCATTCCTCTGTGCTTGTCATGCCCACAGAAATCTAGTCTTATCAGAGTTCATCGCGTTTGTATCGCATGTTGTGCTGAATGCTAACACATTAGTTTCCATTCACCCATTGCCTCAGAGGGCTTGCTGGCTGCCACAATTCTGCACCCATTCAATCATGCACTGGCGCATCATCTTCTAACAAAAACCCATTTCCTTTTAGAAGTCTCAGGACTTCCTCTCTAATTTGCTTTTTGGCTTTAACTAATAATGAGGCTGTTTTACCATCACCTGCCGACACCCTGAATTTTAACACTGCTGTAGCTTGGCCAATGAAAAAACTGAAGTGCATTGTTAACTAACACATGCTCAGATATATTGTGAATTTGAAAATGTTTGTAGGCCTTTGTGTGTGTGTGTGTGTGTGTGTGTGTGTGTGTGTGTGTGTGTGTGTGTGTGTGTGTGTGTGTGTGTGTGTGCGTGTGCGTGCGTGCGCACGCATGCATGTCTGTGAGAGAGAGACAGAGGTGTCAGGCCTATCTTTATTGAATCTACTTCTATGCTTAAAAGAGATTGAGTTATGACACAGATCTTTCTTAAATCAGTGAGTATACAAACGTAGCATGCAATAATAGCTGAATAAGCTACAACAAACACCCGTTTGTGAACATTTTATGTGTCGTCCGTCCAAAACAGTCAGTCCTGTCTTATGTACCACGTCCTCACCTCATGGTACAACTGTCCGTATCTGATTATTAAGCCACATTCAACTGTTTGTTCTTGTTTCTGTCCCATTGACACAAACCAGTGTGATGCATTTTCTTCAGGGGATTAAATGTTAACTTTAAGAGTGGGACATATTTAGGCTTAAATTTCTCTCTGGAATGCAATATCTGAAAAAAATGTCTCAAACAACAGAACCTTCCCCATTCTTAAAGTTAGTCTTCTGCACTGACTGCAATGGCAAAATTTCAACTGTGCATCTGATTTACTTAGTTTCCGAGAAGGAATCGCAACTGAATATAACTTAGGCCATAGGCTGAAGCTCAAAATGTGGCTAGAAATAGGATTTCGCTCCACTATCCTGGGGACTACTTTTCGATAGCACTTTTCCAATCTTGAATATGTACTGGAGCTGGGAAAAAAAGTTCTCCATGGGATTCCTGCCAGTATTTGAGAAAATGGGTGCCAAAGGTGGCAGTTTACCCAAAAAAGTGACGATTTTGGGTCTTCTACCATTTTCAAACCCTTGTAACTTTTTTATTATTAAGCCGATCGTACTCAAATTTTTTATTCCCACAGACATTCATACTTACTCAGAGCTTCTAAAGCGGCAATGTTCTGCGTGCTTTAAGTACGGAGTTATTCTAAATGAAAACATACAGTTTTGAACAACTTCACAATCTCCCAAAATGTATCTTTATTGCACATGAAAACTGCAATTCTTTGAATTTTCAATTGAAAAATTCTAATAGCAAGATATCCCTTTGTGTCTGGTTAATTAATAACTATGAAAAGTGGTGTGAATTTTATCACCTAGCAAACCAGTTACAATATAGGCCATAGGCTGAAGCTCAAAATGTGGCTAGAAATAGGATTTCGCTCCACTAACCTGGGGACTACTTTTGATAGCACTTTTCCAATCTTGAATATGTACTGGAGCTGGGAAAAAAAGTTCTCCATGGGATTCCTGCCAGTATTTGAGAAAATGGGTGCCAAAGGTGGCAGTTTACCCAAAAAAGTGACGATTTTGGGTCTTCTACCATTTTCAAACCCTTGTAACTTTTTTATTATTAATGTGATTGTACTCAAATTTTTGATTCCCACAGACATTCATACTTACTCAGAGCTTCTAAAACGGCAATGTTCTGCGTGCTTTAAGTACGGAGTTATTCTAAATGAAAACATACACTTTTTAACAATTTCGCAATTTCCCAAAATATATATTTACTGCACATGAAAACTGCAATTCTTTGAATTTTAAATTGAAAAACTCTAATAGAAAGATATCCCTTTGTGTCTGGTTAATTAATAACTATTTAAAGTGGTGTGAATTTTATCACCTAGCAGACCAGTTACAATATTGGAAGCAAAATTTTCGGAAATAACAATAAAAACTAGAAGAATCTTCAAGTAAATTTATACTGTTTATTCAATGGATCTGATATCAACTTAAGCATTCATGGAATTAATGAACAAATAATAACAAAAATAATAGTAACAACCCCCCCCCCCCCCACCACCACCACTCCATTCCCACACCAACAAGAGTTACTTCTTCTGTTTGTTGCAACATTTATGAATATTTACAGAGAGAATTAATCATCTTCAGAAAAACTGAAAGAGAATAAGAAGCCTACATATAATTTTTCAATTACTTTTGAACAATTATACCAAGCATTAAGCATGCCAAAGTTGATATCTCCCAAATTTTATACATGTACATATATAATTATAAAGACCGATTCTAACCATTTATAAATCTCCACTCAGTGACTATTGACAAATGGCAATAGCAATGATAACCTGATTTTGAAAAGGGGTAAAGTTTTCAGATGCCTCATAACAATAGGAAGAATAATAATCATAATGATTGATTATTTATAAGAACAATGGAAAGTATTAATATCACAACATTAAAAAATGAACTCTTATTTATAAGATACAAGATTGTTTTTTTTCACATTTACTACAAAATTCAGTTTACTATGGACAAATATTCAAATTGGTTTTCAGAAATGAAATAGTTTCAATCAGCTAACCTGTGGGTTGTGAATTCACTCCTCTGAGGCAAGACTTAATATGGAAATGTACAGGGAATTAAAGAAGGCACAAAGACATTTCTGTTTTTAAACAATTACTTTTGTTGGACCCAGCAAGCCTTGAGATGTTAATCTTTTCAGGATCACTTCGGGTTGTTACGACTTGAGAATTACAATAGAAAACACAAAGAAACTATGAATCATCAAAATCATAAGAGTGATAGGAGTCTCCTCCTATCACTTCCTGCAGGTGTTCCTAGAGCTGTGGAAGCTGGATCTGTGGTTGGGAGTTTCCTGCTCCCCCCGTGTTCCTGCTCTGCTACTACTCTGCTTAGTGTTATTTCTGTCATAACTCCTATCATTATCATTAGTATCAATATACATAAAATTGAATTGAATTTAACTTTCTTTGTAGCACCGTTTGTGCTACCGGACTTCAATTGCGACACAATCTTTTCCACGTACATCCTTGAGGATGGATTCGTCCATTTTCACTTCAGCTGCTTTAACCAAACTCCCTAGCAAAGAGAGAGTTAAAGTTAAATCATAAACCAGCTGCCAACAAATAATATCAAATACATTTTCTCTCTTTTACCAGACTGAACTGGTAGTTGGGTGACAAATTTAAAATCTAACCATTATTTGACAAATCAATTAATTGCCTATCATCACTTCAAGTTCATAATAATGCCTTTTATTATTATTGAGGCCCTACACTTAGCCTTCATACACCTACTTCATAATGAAGGCTAGGGCTGGCAACAATTACACATGCATTTTTTTTAAATCAACAAATGTATTACTTTAGCTTTTGATTATACGCCACAAACAAAGATGCTGTCTGCAAATTATCTAATCACCAGTATGTATAGTTTCTGCTTGGACCAATTTACCTTTCTTTGTCTTGTGTCCCTCCGCCAACGTGCGGTCAATTCCGTCAATACACTTACGGGAAAACACGACCAGCTTCTTCCACGAACAACTGTTAGTGGCTGTGTTCGTTCTTTGTCTACCGATTATATGTGTGTGATGCATATATAATCCTCATTTTTCTTGCGTTTTTTGTCTGATCAACGGGAAAACGCTGCTCCACGGGAGCAGCCATGTTTGTTGTTGTTCTTCTGTTCTCGCCTCTGAATGGGAGAGCGCACCTGAAGGACGCGCTCTGATTGGCTAACGGCTAGGCGGCTTGATTCGAGCGTACTTTACCGGTGTGATCAGGCTACCGATATAGTTACATTTTTAAGTAATTATTGTAAAAATACTGGCGCAAAGCGATTGGAGAACTTTTGGTTATGAGCTCAAAATGCACTAAGGTTTTTTTTGCAGGTGTCATTTAGTAGTCCCTCAATAAGTGGAGCGAAACTTAACGATACAGGCTTCAGCCTATGGCCTAACTATAACCACCCTACTTTCTGAGAACAATATCAGACTGCACAGATCCTCAAGTACCTTTTGTTTATATGGACAGTCAATTGATATCCACAAATGTTCACAAATTACATAAACTTCGGCAATAAGGTAGGGGCAGCTTCCGTTGTTGTTTTAGGATCTACATCTTGTCAGTCACCATCAGTGTTATCAGACTCTATTTTTTTGTTTTATTTTCTGCTGAAGGTCCCTCACCCATTGTGAACAAAAAAATCTCCTTTAACATATCCTGTCTCTCGCACCTGCAGGTGATAGAGTTTGATGACGGCTCTGGTTCGGTGCTAAGAATTCAGCCATTGCGCACGCCCCGAGATGAAGCCATATATGAATGTGTCGCCTCCAACAGTGTTGGAGAGACGAGTGCAACCACCAGACTCACTGTTTTACGTGGTAGGTCCTCACCAACAAAGAAAATAAAATAGAGAAAAAAATAAAAACAAACAAAAAATCACCATTAACACGCACCTCTCTCAGCCAACCCAGGTAAGGATGCATTTATCAATTTTTTTTTACTCTCCTTCACTCTTTTTTTTTTTACTGTTGTTCAGCACAGCCAAACATAATTTAAAAATGGTCACACTCACGTAGTATATCTAAATTGATAAGATTTAGTCCATTAGCCATTTAGCCAAGTAAGTTTCCGTTTCTAAGTGACTTAAGTCATTTGCATACAGATTTCTGACAATAATTAAGATGCCAGTTAAATTATGCAAATATCCATCCTTTCCTAGCCTGCAGTGGTTTAATGAAAAAGCTCAGCAATAATTTTCAAATCAGTCATTTTTCATCTCTATACATAAGCTTTGATATTCATTTGACCGTGTAGAAAATCAAGCAGTGTATTTTCATGTGATTAACAAGCATACTGTTTATTATTTAAAGAAGTATTCCAGTTGTAAGTTTCGTGAGTATCTTCCAGTGGCTTTACTCTATGCAGACATACATTATGATCCAGGTGTTTACTTTTGCTGGGCAGTGAGGAAAGAAGTCGGGTGACAAATATCAAGTTGGATGACAGCGCTTCTTTTATAATGAGCAATGAGCAAAACTTGATCTGATTACACACAACATGCCTTTCAAAGGCAAATTTGTGGTGGCCCTGAGCTCAAAAGGATGCATAATATCTTTCTGAAACATGACTCATTTGGCTGGGAATGGAGAAAATGTCTTTAGAATAATAATAAGAAAAAGCCTTGGGCTGCTTGAATGAGGTGTGCTCCATTATGTTTCACAATTACAAAACATGGCAAATGAGTTCCTATTGAGGGGGGCGCTTCCATCCTATAGAAACAGGCTGGCTTTGCGAGTATGTGAAGCCCCCCTCAGCTCCCTCCTCCCTCGCTTCTTATCTCACCAGTAAGCCAACAAAAGGCCCTTTGCACTGTCTCCAGAGGCCGATTGAAAGAGAAAGGTGGCACGTTCACATGCAGTTCTCTCCTGTTTACTCGGCAGCACACAGTGAGGGTGTGCGAGGGTGTGCGTGTGAGTGCTTCCTCATATTCACATGCAATACTGCACACATACCTTTTCCCTTTCACTCTCGCTCAGTCTCTATCTTTGTATTTCCCTTTCACATACACACACAAACCAGCCGATAGCTGAGGGATAGATAGAAGCTGTTCCTCCCTGCTTCGCGGCCTAGCATTAGCATGTTTATTACTATTTCCATTTTGCTTCTCTGAACTCTCTCCTTTCCCATCAATGTATTGAGGGTGAGAAGAGGCCTATCTGGTACGAAAAAAACAAAAAAACAGGACCAGCTTCTTTTTTCTTTTTCTTTTTTTTAAACCTCCTGTTTGAAGCAAATATAAAAGTTGTACTCTATCTCATTCCTTTAAAAATGTCAAAATACTGGAAATATGAAAAATGTATATTAAAACAGGAGAGGTTTTATAGACATGCAAATGTTTTTTTTCTGGCATCAGCCATCACTTGCTATCAGATTTTAGGAGGGTATGAGTACAAGTGTCAACACTTAATTGTTGTATTTAAAAAAGTACACACACACACACACACACACACACATATATATATATATACACTGTATATTAAATTAATCACTGGCAATGTAAATTTAAACCTCATTTCTGATCTCGGGAATAAGCTGACATGATTTTGAAAGAAGGAATTATGCCAAAAATAGATGGATAAACTACAGATTCAACTCACAAGTGCATTGTATAATATTTTTGAGATGACAAAGATAATAATTATGCTCGTGCTGGTTAACAATTTAAGGGAATTTTTCTGTGGCAAGTTTTTTATTCTACTCCGTTAATAAAACGCATAGAAGAAAACTTGTAAAACTTTCAAAAATGTAATGTAAGATTGACAAAATTGATAGTTTTGCAGAAAAGATAAGTTCTACTGCATCGAAACCTTACACATAAAAAGTGAGTTTTTGTGCATTTAGTTCATTTTGACTCTGATGATCTGTGGAAATGAGTGCAACGCATCTGTCGTGGGAAGCTAGCCACAGGGGGTAAGGCCTAATTCCATGGAGGAAAAGCACATTGTTATAACTGCCATGTTATAAGCAGACTGGACTTGAGTTGACATAGCTAAAGTACCAGGGGACATTAGAATTTGGACAGGCCTTAGACTTTATAAGAACTACCATTCATAATGAATTTGTAGGGATAGAGAGGAAATTTGCACGTAAGACGTACCTTGAAACATGATAATATTCTGAGTCAAATCTGCCAGGCTTGGACATTAGGTACAGCTTGTCTTTGTGCCTTCTATTTTGATTAACAATAGGATCATCCAAGTCATATGCAACTCGTGTCTTTGTAATGTGGAATGCTTTGATATGTTAGGCTTTGAAAATGTCATGAATGAATTTAAAAAAACAACTACACTTTAGAAGTCGTAATACGAATAAGAGTAATATTTGTTAAACATATCTCTGTGGTTTCAAACACACAGCAATTCCATGCACATATTCAATTGTGTCTGCACAGCAACACTGGAATCATTCAAAAGGCAATGATAGAACTATTGGGAATGTATTAAAAATTAATGTAAAAAAAAAAAAAGAAGAACCCCCCTCCCCTAAAAATCTATTTAGAACATGTATAGTGTTCTGCTAAAGTTTGAGTGCTGCAGTTCATGATTCAGGCATGATTAAGGATTTATATTGCATCTTCATACTCCCATTATACTGTCAACAGCCTTTTCCTGTACTCCACACACCAGCGAGCAACTTATGCAGCTGTGCAAAACTTCACAGTCGGAGCAGAGAATTGGAAGCTGCTCATCTTTATCGGAAAAATACAAAGCATCAATTCCATTTCTATGGAATGCTGCAACTGAGTGGTCAAAGCGCTATGGTTTTGCATTAATTGTTCCTTCACAATCAGTGATTGCTACAAATATATGCACCTAATCCTTTATGATCTCTGAAAAAAGCTGTCACTGGCCTTGATATAAGGATTCAAGGAAAAAATCTATTTCTAATCATGAAACCTGATAGTGTGATATTGTGCAAAAGTTAATGTTTTCTTTTCTCATCTGCAAAAAGAATAAGGTAAAAAGTAATGACAAATATTGATTAAAATAGATTTTCAGTTGTCTGATTTTGCAACTATTCCAACAAGCACAGAGTGCAAGATGTAGAAAAAGTGGTTCACATGTTCAAATTGCTTTGGAAGATAAATGCTGTGTCAGCTGTCTCAGACCCTCGGAGCAAATGTAGCACTTGGATAGAAGTAAGTGACCATTGTTAAATTACTGTGTTCACGATCAGTGGCTTGCAAAAAGGAGAGGTAGTAGCCAGAATCTGTCTTACAATTCTTTGCTTTACTGACAGGAGCTCTGTTAAAGGCAGGACCCTAGGCTGCCACGTGGAACATTCAATTTTCTTGGAGAATGCATTTTAACTGCCCAGAAAAATAACTTGGAAAACAAGTTGTCTCAATGCAGTAAGAGTTTTTAAAACTTAAGACGATTCATGCAGATTAACACTACAACAGTATCAAGGACAAATAAACGTATTTTCCTGTGTATCAGGCATCACCTTAATGATTATTACAAGTTGACAGCTATTTATCTTTGTATGTAGTGAAGGTGAAGTGTGAATGTTCATGAAAGATGTATGCAGTCATTTGGGATTTAACTAAAATCGCTTTCACGTTATTACAAACCTCATTCTGTAGTATGTCAGAAAAATAGAGTAAATAGAGTGTAAATTCACCTCCAAAAATCAGTCAACCTATCTAAATCCTGTACAGACAAGTCACCCAGCGGTCACGTCCCTCTAGTGAAAGGCTCAGCTGGTACCAGGAAGGTTTATGGCATAATATCACACTTTCTTATTTAGGAATATTTTAGTGGTCAGATTAGAGAAAACACAAGGTCATGAAACAAGGAGTGTGCAAGTCTGAGCCAGGTAGTCGAGGGGTGCTAATATTAGCAGCTTTGATCTTAGCCGCACTCAGGAGTAATTTTCTACTAGATTAACTGGATACTTCAGGGTCATCCTTAATGTATCCAATGATCTTGAGAAACTTGTCAAGCTATGTAAGTGTGCTCACTAATTAGAACCAAACAACTTTAGAGAAAAGTGACATAGCAAGAAGGGCATGAGATGTCTCTTCATCATCATATTTAGCATTGCAAAGATAAATGTAAGACTAATTCCAAGAGGATGAAAGACAAAATATTAGGCATTCTTGTGAATTTCATTAAGTCGATACTAAAACTCTATGTTACACTCTTAAAAGATGGCAACATGTTTATTCTTATACGAACCCAGCAGTCATCTCCCACTTTCATAGAAAATATCTGTCTGCTAAAGATGTAAGCCTGAAATAACCCCATTTTCCATTAAGGCTCTTTGGAAGCCAAAAGGTCTTCTCTGCAGGATGTTTGCAAGCATGAATAATCTCTATACTCCCTTCTCTTGTAGAATGCTTTTAGCTATATAAATTATTGAAGTTTCTGGTGCTACATTTTGCCTTTCTCAGAAAGAAGTCAACTTGTATTAAGTCGGTATTCTCAGATATTTATAATGCACATCAAAATACTCATCTTAGTTTTTCCAATGAAAGAGTTCCCAGCAAAAAGGAATTTCCCATTGCCTTGCACAAAAGTCTAAAAGTGGGAGAATTTCAGTCGAAATTTGGACAGATGAGATGGCTTTTGCTCAGAAAGCAGTGCTTTCAAAGACACAAACAGACCGATACTTGCTATACTTTTTTTCCTAAATTATATGCAATGTGAACTAGACCAACCCAACACCCTTGCCTCTGAAGGTATAGACAAAGGATAATGAAGCAACTCACTGTTTCAGTTTTGCCGTCTGTGTTTTCTTTCCCACCCAGTAGGAAGGCTCACCTCATTGCCGATATTCTCTCGAGCCCCTGCTGGTTCCGGCTTCTGGATTCCGTCTTTATAAGCTGCTGCTGATGAGACAAAACAA